CAGCCAACAATGTATTAGGCACAGAGTAAGCATGAAATTTATGTGCTCATTCAAAACCTCAGTGAACATCTACTATGTGCCAAGGACTAAGGATTTAAGATTAATAAACACACAAGCTTTGCTCCAGCAACTCCCAGGCTAGAAGAAAGAAGAGGTATGTCTTGGGCTCTGTATCTTTGTCACCTTCTCAAGGATATTGTTGATTTACCTACCGCTGTCTCCAGCAAGAATCTCTCTCTGACTATTAGGCCATTCCCTGCATTACAGCCATATGCTTTAATATCTCCCATTGTGAATACAAACAAAAATCTCCTGTAATTCCTCATACCCTGTTAGTTACATCCCATTTATCAGTTTTCCTTAACAGCTAAACTTCTCTAAGAAGTTTTCCACATAGGCCACACCCACTTTCTCACGTCTGAGTTCAGCGGACAATCATGGCAGCCTGCAGAACTACAGTCAGACAGTCTACCAGAAAGCTAGAACTGTGCCCTTCACAGCACCAGTCCACTGGACAGCCCTCTGTCCTCAGCTCGTTCAATGCCCAGTATCATTCTGCAATCACCCACTCCTTCTTTCAGAAAATCCTCCCCGGCTCTGGCTTTCCACTGGAACGCTTACACAACTCCCTTTGTGGCTATTCCTCTTTTATTTGACCACCAAATGTTGGCCTCATTCCCAAGACACCTTCTCTTCTAGTCCACGTATCTCTCTAGGTGATCTCATCAACAGTCGTGCATTCAAGACAATCTTTACACTAATGACTCTAACATTTGCTGCATGTCCAGACCTGGACCTTTCCTCCAAGCTCTAACCTCATCTATCTAATTGCCTATCTGATAACCCCACCTAGATGTCCTCGATCTCAAATTTAGCATGCCTAAAAAGAATGGCTGGAGGGGCTGGCCCGGTGGCCGAGTGGTTAAGTTTGCGTGCTCCACTGCAGGCGGCCCAGTGTTTCGTTGGTTCAAATCCTGGGCGCGGACATGGTACTGCTCATCAAACCACACTGAGGCAGCGTCCCACATGCCACAACTAGAAGGACCCACAACGAAGAATATACAACTATGTACCGGGGGGCTTTGGGGAGAAAAAGGAAAAAATTTAAAAAGAAAATCTCTCCAAAAAAAAAAAAGAATGGCTGGCATTTTTTTTCTCCCCAAAAAACTTGCCCCCACACCTACCCCAGGCCCTCTTCATCTCACTGAAAAGTAGCATTAGTCACTAAGTCATTAAACCAGAAACCTAGGAGCCATCCTTGGTTCTTCCCTTTCTTCCCTGCCACCACCAACCCAATCCATCAGCATCCATCCATCAGCAAGTCCTGTATCCAAAACAAATCTTACATCTAACATCTCTCTCCTCTTTATCTGTAATGCCACTACCGTACTCCTGGCTACAGCCATCTCTCACTTAGATTACCACATGTGTCCAAATTAGCTTTCTGCATCTACTCTTGCCCCTTCCTGATCCATTCTCTAACAGCAAGAGTAATTTTCATAAAATATATAAAATTACGTCACATTGCTACATACAACCTTACAGTGGCTCTCTATTGAAAACTACTAAATTCCAAACCCTTTATCATGAGACTCTACATAAACTGACCAGTGTCTATGTTTCCAGCCTCATCTTATACTATTTCTCATCCCCTCCTTCATTCTCCTTCATTCATATACTCCAGCCATACTGGTTATCTTTTGTTCCTTAATGACACCAACTCTTTTCTAAGCAGAAGAAATAGCATGAGCAAAGGCCTGAGAAGAAAATGTTCATGGCCTCCTTCAGACTCCTTCTCTTCCACCATGTCTGTTTAAAGTACCACGGCTACAGGGAGGTCTTTGTAGACAGACGTTTATTCTTTATATTAGTCCCATATGGAAGATCAGTTGCAAGCATTTATTCAAATCTCCAGTTATTTTATTTATTTATTCCCAATGTAAGTTTCATGTGGGCAGGCACCACGTTCACTGTTGAACCCCAACACTTAGCACTCTGCCAAGCATATAGCAGAAATTCAGTAAATACTCACTGAATGTAAAAATGTATAAACAAACAATTATAACACAATGTGATATGTGCTAGTATAGGAAATGATCACAAAGTTCTAAGGAAACATGAATAGAGAAACTCTTTACAGAAGAGAAACTCTATGCATCTGGGCTATGTCGTTTGGAGTGGGAATTTCTCAGGGTTAGGAGCCAAAATAAAAGCACTGAAAATATAAAAATGGCTGATTGTGTTCAAAAACAGGCTGAATTCTGGGCAAGGTGGCAATGGCCTTCCATGTCAGGCTACCCAATTTAGACTTTATCAGGAAAGCTAGCCATAGAGAGCTTATGCAAGGAATAGATACTATTTGGATTACAGAAAAATAACTCAGGTGACAGCATATATGGAAGATCAGTTGCAAGGAGAAGAACTGGAAACAGAGAGATGAGTTAGAAAGATGTTACACAGGGAAAGTGAGCCAGTCTGAACTAGGCAGTGGAAATGAGAAGAAAGAGAAAGAGCTAGACCAAGAGATACTAAGACAGAATGAAAAGAGCTTGGCAACTAATTAGATGTGTAAGTGAGGAACAAGATATCAAAGCAGCTCAGCTTTCACGTGGGAGACTATGAAAAAGATGAACCCACTAACTGAGATAGAATATCCAATACGGGCAGGTTTTAGGGAAAAAAGTAAGAAGTTCAGTTTGGAACATACTAACCGTGAGGTGCTTGGGGACATCCTTGTAGAGACTTCCAATAAGCAGCCAGGACATAGAAATGAAGATCAGGGTAAAGTGGAGCTCATGGATTTAGAAACCAACATATATGTAGTAACTGCCTGTCTAGAAATAGAGCTGATTATTTAATACTTATTGTTTAATATTTGTTGCCTAAACATTTTACCAAGAAGTTAAATGGAAGATAAAAGTGAAAACACTTTTCTTATACAATCTTCTCTGGGAAGAAAAAATGGAAGAATTCAAACCAAAAGTAAAACTGGTAATTCCCTCAAAATTCCTACAATATGGGGCCCGGCCCCACAGCTGAGTGGTTAAAATTCCGCATGCCCACATGGGTGGCCTGAGTTTGTGGGTTCAGATCCCAGGGTGTGGACCTACTCACTCACCAACCACACTGTGGAAATGTCCCATGTACAAAAAACAGAACAATATTGGCACAGGGTTAATCTTCCTCAGGAAGGAAGGAAAAGGAAGGGAGGAAAGGGAGGGAAGGAGGAAAGAAAAGGAAGGAAGGAAGGAAAGAAAGGGGAGGAGAGAAGAAGGAAGGGAGGAAGGAAGGAAGGAATTCCTAGAACAGTAAATAAAAGTGGATTTTAAAAAAAAAATAGACATTCTAAATATTGCTGTGTGGGTCTTATAAGTCCTTGCTGAATAAAGCTGTGCTTAATACTTTTCTCATTTCCTCAGTGTTAATTTGGAGGGAAGAGAAGGACATTGTAAGGAAACTTATGTTCAAAGTCACATTACTAAAATGTAGTTTAAGGAAAATAGGTTGTAGTCATTGCTAACTCATGATTACCCCAGACAGTCCTCTAGTGGCTTTAAGGATGATGTGGAAACCATTCCTAAGAATGTTTTCCTTCTGGGTATTTCCCCATTGCCACTACTGATTGACTCCTCACCTCATCCCACCACCCATCACCCCGTGTCAGTCCACACTTCTCCTCTACACACACAACCGTGTATGTGACCAGAGGACAGCAAGAGCTTGCCTGTAAGATATCTCCTACCTGGAACTTCTAGCCAGGCAGGAGTCAGAGGGCAGCCCCAGCTCGCCCCCTCCACTCCACTGGAATGAGGCCAGGGGACACTTAGCTCCCTCGGCAACCAGCTACCCAGATACTCAGAAGAGCATAAGGAGGCTTAAGCCCTAGGTGAACAACAGAAACCACAAGGCCAGTGCCTCCATTCTGGTGCATGAAGTGAAGAAAAGAGAGAACAACCCAGCGTGAAAAGAACCAAGCAGTTCTCTGAAAGCAAAAGAGAGTGAAAGGAAGCTCCTATGCCCACTGAGCCACTTTCAGTCACCCAAAAGGTTGGAAGGACGAGAGGCCAGGTTTTCCTGTCACTTTGCCTCTTTATTTACAAGCAGATCCCTGTAGGGTCATATTCCACGAAGGGCAACAGTCCCCAAAATTCCCCTCCAGCCCCCACCCAGAAATGCGCACAGCCAACCACCTTAGACATGTCTACATGAGGCTTCACAGCCACCTCAGCCTGCAGAGAAAGCAATGGGAGAGGGATTTCCCACCACCTGTGTATTATCTCCTTCCATCAGGAAGGTATTCTGACTACGAACCATTGTTTTAGGGAGATTTCTGACATAAGGGTCTCTCTGCCTTTTCACCTCAGCCAATCAAATTCCCCCTTTCCAACAACCCCCACAGTCCCTAAGTACAAACTCGGTTACCCAAGCACATAATCCTGATGAAAAATGTTTAACAAGAAAATGTGGGCATGTACAGACAAAATTTACTAAAACCCCTGATGTGTTTTTCAGAAAACTAAGAGGAAAGTGAAAGAGGCTAATTTTTTTAGCTTTTTTTTTTTTTAAGTTTCCTCTTACCAAAAAAACAAGGAGAAAAAAGAAAAATAGAGCACTCTCACTTTTTATTAATACTATGCTCAATACCTTTATACAAAGCATTCGGCCCCCGGCATTCTGCTAATAGTTGTGAGTGAAATTCACAGTAGGGTAAATCTCAAGTTACATTAAACAGGATTCTGTTTCCGTCTCATGAGTGGAGGTGAAAGGATTGCCAAATCACTTCATCACTCAAGCTCTTTAAAGTAAAGCATAAGGCGCAGCCCTATAGAAAGGCTCAGAGACACAACACAAAGGTTTGAGTTAGGGTTTTGGTATTTAATGTTTAAGAGAAGGAAGTATGAGAGAAGAAGTGAAAGGGCAAGAGGAAGGCCCGTTCTCACTGGCCGTTTTGAGGAAGAAGGAGCGCTCTGCTCTCCTCACCCTTCCCCAGGAAAACTCACACGGGAGAGAGGCCAGGAAAGATCTTCCGCAGGCAGGTGCCGATGTGAGCCAGAACTTCACTCACGTCCTCGGGCGACGCCATCTTCATGGAGATGCTGCACTTCTCAGTTTCTACAATCATCTGCAAGAAGCGGGTTGGACACTGCTTAATACTTAATAATGAGTCCAATTCCTTGAATTTTTAACTCTAAATAACGTAAACTATATACCCACACTGATACAATACCAGCTTTTTGAGAAGCACTTCCTTAAACTAACGCTTAGTTTTAAGACTCAAACAACTGTTTGGGAAGTGAGTGGAAAGGGTGCCAGAAATATCCAGAAAGTGAAGCCAAGTGTTTCTAAGGGCCAAATTGCAGATTCAAACAGATCCCCCATGTGCTGGAGACTGAATTTCTACATTCGTACATGACCTACCCTTCTACCAAGATTTTATCTTGAGATGTGGTCTTACAAAGCCTGTCATATGCCATTACCTAGTGTAAGCAAGAAATCTCCTTCAATGAGGATCTATGGACAATCTGATAGTCACTTTTCTTAAAAAAAAAAAAGTTTTAAAAGAAAACACCTTATGAGATGTTCAAATGAAATGCTAAAACCTTTTACCTGATAACAAAAGAAAAATCAAATGGTTATAACAGTTTCAACTTTTCTAAGAAGAGGGTATTTGGAAAGGATTATATGAAGGCAATAAAGGAATCAATGTTCAGGGCTAGGCAAAGACTCATTCCTATAATTAACTCCCGGAGATGTCCACAACTTACGCCAAAAATGTTGGCACTGAGGTCCTATAGCTAGTCCTATAAATAAATACAAATCAACCTGGAAAAAAAGAGCAGGTCACAAAAGGGACAATAGGTGGATTATGGACACATTGCAAACAAAAAGAATCAACTTCAATCATTTTCAGGAAAAAATACCATTATCTTGGAAATCCAGGATGTAAAATGCAATCCCTTTGGATTATCACTGCATCAAAACATCCTTATACTTTTACTTCCTGTTGCTACTTAATTTGTACAAAATATGATGGGGGAACACCGCAGTTAATGTGCAATTAACTGACTGGATTAAGGAAACAGTTTTAGACTTGTTTTAAGTTGTCCTGAAATTAGCTAAATTAAAAATAATAATAATCATCTGTCTTTCAAAGTGTTTATGTTAAAAGGAAAAGTTATGCAATTTATTTGTCAAAATGATGAGATCAAAGAAAAAGACTTAAGTAATTTGAGTCCTTAAAAGGTTACTTTTCCATAAGCGCCCCTGAGAAATCTGTTAACAGGTATTTAATATGTACCACCTCTGTGCCAGGTAGTTGGATCCATATATAAAAATATACTTTAAATCCTAATTTTCTTCAGCATGTTCCTCAAGAAATTCATGATAGAGCATCTGAACTTCTCTAGGCAAAGACTGCATTGGTCTTCCAGAAGCTGGTCCAAGAGATATTTTCCCCCAAAAAGGCAGCAAGCATTATTGTACCTGGAGGTGTCTACTGATCTATTCCAGGATATCTCAATGACTTTTTTCTCTTTTTTTTTTTAGATTGGCACCTGAGCTAACAACTGTTGCCAATCTTTTTCTTTTCTTCTTCTCCCCAAAGCGCCCCACCCCCCCGTACATAGTTGTATATTCTAGCTGTTGGTCCTTCTGGTTGTGCTATGTGGGACGCCACCTCCACATGGCTTGATGAGTGGTGCCATGTCTCTGCCCAAGATCCAAACCAGCAAAACCCTGGGCCACCAAAGCGGAATGCACAAACTTAACCACTCAGCTATGGGGCCGGCCCCAATGAGGTGTCTTAAGTAAGACTAAAGCTCTTTGTGCAGTTCAGCTCAGATATTTCAGAGGCACATGTCTGTGCATATGCATGTTTTATAAAAAGCCAGATATTTTTTGGGATGCAGCCATTGTGTCTGTGTTCCACACCCCACCCCCAACCTTCCCACCACGGGTAAGTATATTCTCCACTAAAGGGTATTTCTGCTTTCTTCACATCTAGAGTATCTATTCAGTTCACAGTTTGGGCACGAGTAATTAGTAATTTGCTCATTCTAATTCCACTTAATCTTAACACCTAATCATCCTTAATTGCACAGCATTGAATAGAGTGACAGGGAAGAAAAAGAGGTGACAGGTGGGGGAAGAAATGAAGTCTTCAAATTCAGCCTTACATGAAAGCACTCACATAGTCCTGCGTGATATGGCACCACCTTTGCATAATGTAAAGATTGCAACAAAGTGTCAGAGATGAGAGTAACACAATAAACCATTTCATCGGGAAAAAGAACCCCTCTCAAACACCTTTCCCTCCTATTTCAGCTGGGGAAAAACAGAATGTTTGAAATACTTTTTGCTTAGACACCTCACAGGACATAATCCTTGACCTCCCATATACATTTAAAATAATCATCAGAGATATGAACCATAGCATCTTATTTAAAATTCAAGTTTCTGACCCCACCTCACTTCCTTTTTTAAGGTAGAACAATCTGACTGAACTTTAAGAGAAGCATTTTTTACTAACCCCAGCCAACAGATTTGTGAAGTGTTTCTCTTTCCTCTAACAGAAACAGTCATGGGTGGTTTACCAAAATCATTCTATGACATAGCGAATAACTAACCCTACAATTAAAAAAAGTCATAGCAGGTGTTTCAGTTGTCGAAGAAATGTTCCAAAAATTCTATAACTATAAAGCTATATAACTGTTGGCCTCAATTTACTAACCATAAAGGCAACAGAACTTGACCACCAGAAATGTTATGGAAATGAGATTTGTAAAATCAGATAGAGGTCTCCCACATTTCCTCAAGGAGGAGGAAAATAGCGATAGTGAAAGCCACATTTCACTAACTCAATAACACAGTCACTTACTCTCACTCATCCCCAATGAAATGTCTTTGTCCCAGACTTTTTATCTGAATTTCTAAGCTCTAATTAAATGATGATAAAAATAGCAATGACAAAAAAGTTAAACAATCCAAGAGAACATTAGAAAAGAATGTCCTAATCAAAGCTAGATTGTGAGTGCCACAGGCAGTCACTATTGTCTTTATGATTTTAGAGAAGAGAAAATCAAATGAGAGACATCAAGGGTCCTGAGGTTACATAGGTTACTAATTCTCAACCTTTGGAACACAAGAGAATCAAATGCCCACCCCAGACATATTGAATCCTAATCATCATGTGTGTGTGTGCAGGCGGGGATGTGACAGGGAGAGGGGTACTGCTGAAGCTACCAGTATTTTTTAAAAGCACCACAAGCAATTCTGAAACATCAAATTTTGATACTACTAAGTGACTAGTACTGCCAGTGTCTGAATCGCTAGCCCCTTGGTGGAAGCAGTACCATTGTTTCACTCTAATTTCACCTCCAAGGTCCATATTATGGGAGAAAGTTAAACTGAAGTAATGTTGTAGAGCTATTCTTGTGGCACTTAACGATGACAGAACAGCACCATGGGACTGAGGCGGACTGCCTTAGACCTAGTGCTTGTGAGTGCCGGACACACTGAAGGGGACGTGACTACAGAGTGTGACAAGACCAGTTCCGGCAGCCACGTGGGAAAATTAGTCTTGCTGTATCAACACTCTTTCTCATAATTAAATACCACAGTCAAATCATATTTTGAATATAACCTTGGCATTAACATTTCAATAGTGCCCTTCTACTCCCATCCCAAGCTCCAAATCATAGACATGAACATTCCTGAATTAAGATCATCAAGAAGGCCCCAGTTATGTCATCATTCATGAGTGATTATTCACTCCTGCATATGTTTGCCCAAATGGGCAAACATATGGTACTATAATTTTTCTTCCAAACTCCAGTTTCTGAAGAATGATAAACACATAGGATAATGTTGCTCTAAGATGAACTATGGAAAAGTTCCAAAGATTTATATGTAATCTCTATCAATGTAAAGTGACAATTTTGACAATTTCTTTTAGGAACGTTATCAACAAACCCCCTACACATGCGTGCATGCACGCATACATTTCTTTATAGTTTTAAAAACTAAAACATAAAGTAGAAGGAAGGAAATAAAGAAGATCAGAGTAATAACCAATGAAACAGAAAACAAAATCAATGAAATCAATAGAGAAAATCAATGAAGCCAAGTTATTTGGGAAGATCAAGAGAATTGATAAACCTCTAAAGCTCTAACCAGACTAATATGGGGGGGGGGGGGCTGCACAGAAAGGAGAGGAAAATCAAATTATCAGTATCAAGAATGATATTCTACAGACATTTAAAGGAGAACAAGTAGATACTATGAATAATGTTATATCAATAAATTTGACAACAGAGATAAAACAGATAAATTTCTTAAAAGAAACTACCAAAGCTCACTCAAGAAGCATATGAATGTGTCTCTCTCTATTAAAGACTTAGAATTTGTAGTTAAAAACCTTCCCAAAGAGAAAACTCTAGGCCCAGATGACTTCACTGGTAAATTCAACCAAACATTTAAAGAAGAATTGATACCAACTCTACATAAATTTTTCTAAAAGATTCAAGAGGAGTGATTACTTCCCAACTCATTCTATGAGCCCAGGATAGAAAGCAGGCAAAAACATTAAAAAAAGAGAAAACTACAGCTAATAACTCTCATTAACACAGATGCAAAGATTCTTCGCAAATGGAATTCAACAATATATAAAATGGATAATACACGATGACCAAGTAGGGTTAATCCCAGGAATGAAAGGTTGATTTAATATTTGAAAATCAAACAATATAATTCACCATATTAAAAAAACCTAAAAAGAAAACCACAGAATAATCTCAATAAACAGAGAAAAATCATTTAACAAAATACAACATTAACTTCTGACAAAAACTGTCACCAAACTAGGAAGGGAAGAGAACTTCCTCAATCAGATAAAGGGCATCTATGAAAAACCTCCAGCTAACATCACACTTAATGGAAAAAGAATGATGCTTTCCCTCTAAGATTGGGAATAAAACAAGAACATCCACTCTTACCACTTCTATTCAGCACTGTACTGGAGGTATTAGTGAGCACAAGGGATCAGGGGCTGAGATTTGATTCCACCCTACTTACAAGCCAATAAGTTAGCCTGTTGCTGTTTCATGAACACTAGTAGAAGACAGGAGAATCCTGGGTCAGAGGCACAGGACTTTATTATTCATGGCACAGCAAAGAGTATGACCATCTGTTTGCAATGATTTCCCCCTTACGCACAAAGTCCCACAGGGTAACACAGAGGGCTCAGATAGATGCCTTCACACACAGTGGGTTGCTTACAGGAAAGGAACCACTGAGCTTGAGTAGTCTACTGTTCTCATACTAAACAGTAAGCAAGCCTACTCTTTGTTCAGAAGGGAAACAGTCCATCATCCCACAGGCTGCTCACTACAAACATAACCCTGAGAGGCAGCCGGGATAAGGAGTAGTCACAGCACTGAATTCTTGGTATACCCAGCAACATGTGTAGGGGCGTGAGAGACCCATGAGGATTGTCTTTCAACAGCAATAAGGCAAGAAAAAGGAATTAAAGATATCAATATTGAAAAAGGAAGAAGTAAAAATTGTCTTTATTCACAAGCGACACAATCATCTATGCAGAAAATAATGGAATCTATAAAAAGAAGCTACAAGAATTAATAGGTGAATACAGCAAGGTGGGAGGATACAAGATCAATATGCAAAAATCCATTATATTTCTATATACCCACAAGAAACAAGTGAAAATGGAAATTTAAAACAATACCATTTAGAATACCATCAAAAAATATGAAATATTTAGGAATAAATCTGACAAAAGATGTACATTGAAAGCTACAACAAAATACCACTAAGAGAAATTAAAGAAGACCTATATACATGGAGAAATATATGGTATTCTTGGGTGAGGGACTCCATATTGTTAAGATGCCAATTCCCCCCAAATTGATTTATAGCTTCAATATAACCCCAATAAAAATCTCAACAGTTTCTCTTTTTTATAGAAATTGAGCTGAGTCTAAAATTCATATGGAATTGCAAAGGACTTAGAACCACTAAAACAACCTTGAAAAAGAATAAAGGTGGAGGAACTAACACTTTCTGACTTCAAGACTTACTATAAAGCTACAGTAACCAAGACAGTGTGGTAGTGCAGACCAAAAGGATGGGATTCAGAGTCCAAAAACAGACCAATATTTACATGAATAATTGATCTTCAACAAAAGGGAAAGCCAGTTCAGTGGGGAAATAATAGTCTTTCAAACAAATGGTACCGAAACAAGTGGATATACCATACACACACAAAAACAAAAAAAAATAACATGGATGCATACATTGCTTTATATACAAAAATTACCTCAAAAAAGGGTCCAGCCCCATGGCCGAGTGGTTAAAGTTCCGCGTGCTCCCCTTTGGCAGCCGGGGTTCATGGTTTCAGATCCCAGGCACAAACCTACTCCACTCACCAGACATGCTTTGGTGGTGTCCCACATACAAAAGAATGGAGGAAGACTGCCACAGATGTTAGTTCAGGGCAAATCTTTCTCAGCAAAAAAAAAAAAAAATTATCTCAAAATGGATCATGGACATACAATGTATAACCTAAAGCTATAAAACTTCTAGAACACATAGAATATTCTATGACCTTGGCTTAAGCATGACACCAGCACAATGCAAAAAAGAAAATATTGATAAATTACACTTCATCAAAATTTAAAACTCCTGCTCTTTGAAAAGCACTGTAAAGAAAATGAAAAGACAAGCCTCAGAGAAAATATGTATAAATCACATGTCTGATAAAAGATCTATATTCAGAATATATAAAGAACTCTTAAAACAGTAATAAAGCGAACAACTCAATTTAAAAAACAGCAAAAGATGTGAACCAATATTTGAACAAAGAAGATATATGATGGCAAATAAGCAGATAAAAAGATGCTCAGTATCTTTAGTCATTAGAGAAATGCAAATTAAAACTACAATGAGAGAGCTACGTATTTATTAGAACGGCTAAAATTAAAAACACTGACCATATCAGTATTGGAGAGGATGTGGAGGAAGTGAAACTCCCACACACTGCTGGTGGCGGTATAAAATGGCACAACCACTTTGGGAAAAATTTAGCAGCTTCTTAAAAAGTTCAAGATATTCCTACCATACAATTAAGCCATTCCACTCCTAGATATTTACCTATAGAAAATGAAAGCCTACATCCAATTAAAGATTTGTCCATAAATGTTTATCGCAGCTTTGCTTGTCACAGCCAAAAACTGGAAATCACCAGGGGAATGGATAAACAAATTGTGATATAACCAAACAACGGAACACTACTTAGCAATAACAAGGAATAAACTATTGAGACATGCAACAAAATTAATCAATCTCAAAATAATTACACTGACTGAAAGCAGACAATAAAGAGTACACGCACTCTACAATTCCATTCACATAAAATTTTAGAAAATGCAAACTAATCTACAGTGACAGAGAGCAGATGCCTGGAGACGACTACAGATGAGGAGGTGGGGCAGGAGGCAGTGTTCACTAAGGTGTACGAGGAAACTCTGGGGGGATGATATATTCAGTATCTTGATTGCGGTAATGGTTTCACGGGTATACATATGTCAAAACTTATCAAACTTTACATTTTAGTTTACGGCATGTTACTGACAGCCCAATAAAGCTGTTTTTTAAAGTTTATATTTTATTAACACCAAAAAAATTCATTTATCACTATATTCCCAGAAAGACCTTATATAGTCCTGTATAATAACTATGAAATTTTAGCGCTAAAACTTGTTGTACAAAATCTCTAAGGAACAGTACTCTCACATTTACATTGCCAGCTAACATACAGCTAATTGTTCTTTTCAAACTGAGTTATGGAGAATGGGTTTTCCTTATCAGAACAAATTCCCAAGCCCTGCCCGCACAGCATCTGTTCAGTCTCTCTCTTGGAAACTTTCATTTTCCCTAATCTTGTTTTTATACATTGTCTCAATAAACTTTAAATGGTCAAGACAAATAGAAGACGTTTCGTGGTTTCAGAAACTCAAGAAAGGTTACGATCTTGTAGTTACGACAAACAGGTTTCTGTTGCTCACACTCACCTGAGCTGGCTTGCTGCAGATGACGCCGTGAATCTCCAGGTAGCTGAAGGTTAAGTCGAGCTGCAAGTGAGGCAGGAGGGGGAAATAAAGACCTGTAATAAGGGTTTTAACACATCTAATTCAGAGTAAACATGCTTCAATTAGAAACAGTCCAAGAGCAAACAAGAAATTGGGCATCTTCTGAGGGCAGGCTTGTTTAACATCTCCATTCAGTGAATAAGATATAACCTTGATTTATCATATTTCAGAAAAATGATTAGTCACTTTCCTAAAGGGTTGAAAGGAAGCCACGTGTCTGACTTTTTAAACTTCATCCAGGGACAAACCCAGTGGAAAGTTTTTGTACTTCTAGTCCAGTATTGTTCATTGAGAAATGAATGCATGAAGTGAGCCATCTAAATATACTTTTTTCTCTTTTATTTCAAAATTTTCCTTCTGAAAGTCACATCAGGATAAAGCCAATGTTGGTTTTCCCTTCTTTCTAAACTTTTACCTCTTTGGGTTACACTCTGACCACTTACTGGAGTCATCATTCCTTCCACTGTCTTTCAGAAAAAAATCATATTTTAAATAGATTTAGAAAAATATTTAGGAATTTTAAATCATGCTTAAATGAAACACACATAGTTAAATAAAAGTCTACTCTCTCTGCACGTGAATAAATGATGATTTACTTCCTTCTATTTAAATAATGAGTGCCCCTTCCTCTCTTCTCCTGTGTTCAGCATTTCTTTTTCTTCAAAACATCTTCCTCGTCAGGCTCTTTGCCTATTTTTCCTGGACAACAGCCAGTAATCTCTCTCCCAGTTTTGCAGCCTTTCATCTGACTACAGCCAACAGTCACAGGGCATAGGACTAGAGACAATGGAGGACTGAGTGGATTAGTTTATTTTACCCTCTCACCTTAAAACTAGAAACGTAACGGGGAAAGAACCCATCCAGAAACAAACCCGCAGAACCTTAGTTCTGCTCCCTGGTGGCATGTTGCACCATCACACATTTGGTAGGATAAATGTCAAAACAGAGAACCCCGAATCTCCGTCAAATAACTTGAAGTATGGTGATGAGGACTGGAGGTAGACAGATTAATTCATTCTTTCATTATTCACTTAGTTAACCAACAGACATTTATGGAAGGCCTACTAAGTGCCACAATTGGAAACAGAAAGAGGAACGAGGCATTTATCTTGTCATCCAAGAGTTAAATGCAGCATTGGAGGCACATTTTAAACATTCAATTAGAGTAGAAGTCTTCTTACCTAGGATCATCAACATCTATACCTGGTTGGGTTTTGATAAGTCATTTAGAGCAGGGAATTATTTTCCTAAAAAGTATACATTTCTGCTTTCACTCATTTCAAATTAAAGCTTATAAACATATTTTCATTTGCTAGCCTTTGATATAGTGCCAAAGTTTCTTCTTTGAGTTAAACCCATTGGCTGGCCCTCCAATGGCATTTCCTCTATGGACTACACCCATAAATGCAGAACATGCAACTTCCAGTTCAATAATTTTCTAGATTACTACCCTCCACAACCCTTCAGCCTTTACCAGTTTAATTGCCTTGACAGAAATTTTTTTTAAGTAATTCACTTCATCAACGTTCAATATTTCATAGACATTGTCTCCATTTGAAGGCATATTTTACTGATATGTGAATTATCTTTAATTAAACAAATTTACTATTGTAATTATAACTCCACGTATAAGTTTGGGAACAAACCACTGACCCTCACTGGGCATCTCATTCAACTGGTAGGAGCAGGTGTGAACAGATACACTCTCTCACATCCTAGCAGCTATGAAAATGCAGCTGACTTCAGTCAGCATCATCAGGGACGGCATGGATCACTTTGGTCAATTTGACTGAGTGAGGTTAGTTGGAGGTCAATTAAGATGCTGATACTAGACCTGAGGACTGTCACTGGGAGACACGAAGTGCCAGAAAACCAGGAAAACAGTGTGACATTTCATCTAAGCCCTGAAGAATGACTTCAAGTTTGTCAAGCAGAGAAGGGGTGGAAGGGAAATCTAAGCAGAAGAAAATGAATTTGCAAAGGCATAGAGGCATTAAAAGAAGTAGAACAAGACAGAAAATAGAAGTAGACCCTGCAGTATCAGAAATCAATAAGCAAGGACAGGCTGAGTCTGTGATTCTTCGGAGTCCCAGTTATTATTAATGGTGAGGGGGAGGTTCTCTAAGACACATTGACAGACAACACAGAAAGGTTCAAATCATTCTCCCTAATCTCATCCAGGGCTATTGTTAATAGCCCTTTGCTCTCAATCCCCCCAATTGACCCTCCACAGACTCCAGCCCACCCCAAAGAGAGTTTAAAGAATATCACAGGGCCGGCCCAGTGGCATAGTGGTCAAGTTCAAGCATTCTGCTTTGGGGGCCCAGGCTTCGTGGGTTCAGATCCTGGGCATGGACCTATGCACCTGTGATGGCACCCCACATACAAAATAGAAGAAGACTGGAACAGATATTAGCTCAGGGACAATCTTCCTCACCAAAGAGAAACAAAGAAAAAAAACAAAAAAGAATGTCACTGGGGGCCGGCCCCGTGGCCAAGTGATTAAGTTCGCACGCTCCAGCTTTGGCGGCCCAGGATTTCACCAGTTAGGATCCTGGGCGCGGACCTGGCACCACTCATCAGGCCATGCTGAGGCAGCATCCCATATCATACAACTAGAAGGACCTACAACTAATGTATACAGCTATGTACTGGGGAGCTTTAGGGAGAAGAAAAAGACAAAAGACTGGCAACAGATGTTAGCTCAGGTGCCAATCTTAAAAAAAAAAAAAAAGAATGTCACTGGGCAGGTGGAGGCAGGAAGCTAGTTAGGGAGCTGAAAAACATGTAGGCTGCATGAAGACCCGAGGACATTTTTAAGACACAACCACACTTATTAGTGATTGGTTAGATACCAGGAAGGAATTAGCCAGACTATCAATAGCTTTTCCACCACTCTCTCACTCACCCCACCTCTACCTCCTAGCAAGAGTCCCCAACCTACAGGCAACAGGGCAAATCTAAATGTGATTATGTGACTGTCCTTCAGTAACTCCCACGATCCCACAGGCAGCAATTCATGCCACAACTGCCCTCCAACCACAGCTTCCTCCACAATCTTTGACCCACACCGCAGCTCCCTAAATGCACTTTCATACTGTGAAAGCTTTGAGCAGTGGAAGTCCCTTCATCTGCCTGGTTGATATTGGGTGATCCTTCAACTCAGCTTCTCTGCAGACCCTTCCCTGATCTGACAATGCCCCACCTCCACCACCCAAAGCAGAGCAGGGGCCTTCTGGTGAGATAGCAGAGCTCTATTTCTTCTTCTGGGTATGACTGCAGAGGTATTTGCTTCGTGATTAATCAATAAGATGTACATTTCTATTTTGTGCATTTGGCTGTATACGTAGGACATTTAACAATAAAAAGACAAAAGAAAAAATGCTTAATTAATCAGCCCCCAAAGAGAAGAAACCTATGCCCTAGTCAGTGCCTGGCGTACACTGTTGTTCTGAATATAATTATTTCTCTAGAAAATCAATGTCATTGATACTGGTTTTGCTTCTCAGCCAAGGTGTACTGTGGCACATGAAAACCAGCCTTCTCTATGGGGGAAGCATGCATACAGATTACTTTGGAAGAAAATCTGCCTTTCTTGATCTGTGATGCTGACAATATCAGAAATTAGAACCAATGTCCAAACTACCCTAGCCACACTGATGTGAAACAGTACATAGACCATGGGATTAAGCTGGGCCTTCGCTCAGGGGCAGAGCTAGGAGGGGCAATATAGGCTCAGCCAGCAGAAAGGAGGCAGGTGACTTCCCAAGAGGTAACACACCTTCTGCGTCATCATAGCATTTTTAATTAGGCTAAACATATGATTCAGGAGCCTTCTACTCAATAGGCTGCTTGACTATTTTCTCAAGCCCATAAAATTTCCGTCTGCAATTAATTTTTCACCAGTGGGATAATGGTTAATTCACTTCCTTAAATCCTGCCTTCAGGTATTTTAATATATAGGCAATTTAGCCCAACATCATTTACGTAATAATAAATTTCATTGATAATACATTGTAAACATACAGGCTCACTTTATATTATCAAGAAGGACTGGGACCAACAGTCTCATTCTTCAGAGAAACTTTATAATATTTACCATTCATATGATCAGAAAGAAAAAAGGCAGCAGGTACCCTGAGCCTTTGACTAGCAAACAGTGGGTTGTATCTTTGCAAAGTTCAGCAAATCACACAAATTATTAGATTCCAAGTCCTAAAAGGTCCATTTCATTACAGCACCGTGTCTAACACACAAGCAGTATTCATGAAACAGGAGCTAAATGTTGAATTTTAAGAAGCAAGAAACGACTAAGAAAATGAGCAAATAACATAACACTGCAGCCCAAACAGCATAGCGTTGCAAGGCTAAAAGCATCTTTCAAAGCTTACCCATTTTCCTGGGTCTGTGGGGCAGGTGAGGCAGTTCAGCTCAGGAGAAAGTAGCAAAGAGTGGCCTATAGTGAGCCTAATTTTTCTTTCTCCCATTCATTGCTTATGAATCCTTGGCTAAGTCAACTTTGCATTCTTTGAGCTATTTTCTAATAGCTCACCTACAAGGCTTCTGTGAGAATTAAGTGAGATAATGTACTCAAAATATACTTAGTAGATAACTAATTAAATTCTAGTAATGATGGTGTAGTTAAGCAGGGGCTTTGCAGTCCCTGCTCTCATCCTCTGATGCGAATCACACATCCAGCACCTACTAGTGGAAGTTGGACCTTGGGCAAGTTACTGAACCTCCTCTCTGTGCCTTGGTTTTCTCAAGATGAGAATGACAATGGGACCTACATCATGGTTTTCATAAGTTTCTTTTAAGGAGTAAATCTTATTTTTTAAAACAGCACTCAATAAATGTAGCTATCATCATCTTTTTAGAAAAAAAAACTCCCAATTTCTTGCTACCCTTTAGTCTATATCCTATAAAATTGGTCAACACCTCTTTGTTACCATAAAGAAAATAAAGCAATTATTATGCCTAATTCATGACCTATTAGTTCAAATTTTAATTTGCACCATACAATGAAGGACTTCTTATGAAAAATGTTTAATAGATCTTTTAATGAACAATGTGGTACTGTTATTTTTATAGGCAACACCAGAATACCTGGAGAACAGCTGAGGTGTGTTATAGGTAAGGCACTCTCTTTAGAGTTATGAAGGTTATTTCCCACATGTCAAAGTCTTAGAAAAATCTGTCATTACTGGACCAAAGGAAATAAGAACTAGACTTGAAGAAAGTGTAAACCGTGCCCCAGCTGAGAGAGAAAAATGAATGGACTCCACAAGCCTCAGGGATATAGAGCACAAAATGCTTTACCACTTTTCTTGGAAGTAAAAAATGTCCGTCATCACAATGTGTTTTCTGGGGAGAAGGAAGGAAAACATGGGCATGCTAAGAGAACTCTGGACACATTAGCCTAAATCATAAGTCTACTTAATTGAGTAGTGAGTGTGTGTTGTGTTCGACTATGTGAGTGTGTGGGTGTGTGGTCCGTCTTGGAAGGAAAAAACTCACAACACTTACCTTCGTGGGGATTCGTGCTGTTACAAGGAAGGCTCGGCATGATGTAAGCACCTGTAAGTCAGAAGAAGCAACATCAGTATAAGTACCAAAAAGTGGAGCTCATGGGTTTTGGTGTTACCCACAGAACTTTACTGACATTGAAGACTTGGGAGGTCACGTGGCTTGGTTCCTGTCGCATAAGAAGAACAAGAGAACAAGGGCAGCTTCTTGGCCCTGAAGAATTAGTTTTACTCTAAGAGTCTCTGTATGAAGGACCATATGAACAAATCATCTGTAAAATCTCAAGATGATCTATCAGTCAGCAGCTCAAAGGACCAACAGATTACTTCTGCTGAGTAAGCAAGACAGATCTCTCTGATATTAAAATACAGATATCTTATATATAGTCATGAGCCCCACTACATCAACAGCAAACAATGAAAAAGCCAAGTGGTCATTTGTACTTTCCAAATTACAACCCTACTCACATTTGCCCTCTTGCTGTCCATTCTCTATACACATAGGCATAACTGATAATATTTACATAATGCATAGGTAGCAAAAGAGGCTATTTTTCCAAGAAGTTGTTCCCAACTTTGCTTCTCAGTTATGCCTCCTTCAGTCCTAGAGAGAACATTTAGGGAAGTTTCAATTGCAGTACTCAGCTAAGAACACACGTCTATAGCCTATGGGTTTCCATATGCCTATAGGCACTCTCTTGCCCATCAGGGACCATTGTGACTACAAAGCGGATGGAAATAGTTTGAATTCCTAGTTCAAACCCAGAGCAGGGATTCCCATGTCCACAACCCTCAATGTCTAAATGTGACACTCTGCAACTTGGAGGTCTAGGCAGCCTCATGGGCCTTTGCAATAAAGAAAGGAGAGCAACACTTATCAAGTTCTGATGGGAGAATTGCCTTTTTCATTTTCCAAAGAACTTCCTTGTCACTAAATTGATATTTAGCAAACAATGCTTACGTGCTGGTCTAAGAATGCTACATTTGACCAAACCCTAAGAAATCATAGTCAGGGAGACTGAGGCCCAAATTGTTATAGGATTTACCCAGATTCAAGCCAGGGCCCAAACTGCTAATCCGTGCACAGAAGGTGAATCAACGGTCATGTCTGTGCCTGTCTCTAGTCTCCCACCTCCAAACGGAAACAGTGTATTTTCTATAATACTCTTCTTTGAATAATCATAGGTCAGCACTATTAGGAATAACTCAAGTCAGGACTATTTCTGAGACAGATGACTAAGTGTGGTGGCCCGACACTGGCTGGGAGAGTCTGATAATGAGCAAGGTGGGGAAGGAAGAGCGCATTTCAAGACCTTCCACCCAACTGCCTTCAATCACAGCATCCACTTTACCTGGTATCAGTACTTGATTTTAGAGGAGACATGCTCTAAGAGACCATTAATAAGCGTCTTCTAAAAGTTTAGGCAACAGAAGAGATCTATATTTGAATATTCCGTACGCTATGAACCACAGTTCTTTTCCCTAAGGAATCATCCTTTCTTTTTACCGAGGCCCTTGGGAGACGGAGGAAAGCAACAAGCAATAAAAAGGACAGGGACATGTAAGAAGTGGGGCCAGATGTGTGAGTGCAGGTCAAATGCAGCCCAGTAGTAGCAGGGCTGGTATATAATTTGCAGGGCCCTAACTCCAAAATTATTGAGAATTTTAAGACAGTGACAAAAAGCATTAACCCAAGTGCAGGGCCCTTCTGAGAGTGGTGCCCTGCGCAACTGTACAGGTCACATGCCCATGAAGCCACCCTGAGTAGGCACTACTATTAATCAGGCATTCCCTATGTGCCATAAATGGGTGAACATCTTTGAATACACTGACATTTAATCTTCACAACAACCATATTCTATATCATTATTACTCCCATTTTACAGATGAATAAACTGAGGCTCAGTGATGTAACTTACTCAAGGTCACACAATCAACAAAGGCAGAAGCAGGATTCAAAACCACCTTCCTTAACTCCAAAACCTATGCTCTTCACCACTAGGCTACATTCACATGTTCCTACCTACTCCTGCCTCCTGGTACTCTACTCCCTGGCAGATCAGTTAGGATTGGGTAGGCAGAAACAGCCCACTTAGGGCTGTGACTGGGAAGGGACCCACAAAGCTCCCAGTTCAAACAGCATCTTCCTCAACATTCCAACAGTTTATAGGATTCTCTTTTCAAAGGCCAGCATGCCCTGGAGAGTTAAACTCTTCAGTCATGTGCACTAGCCAGTCCTTGACTAAGACAGCAGTACTCAGGGAAGTAGAGTTTGGTTACTTTCGGGGAGGAGAAGAGCAAGAGGTAATTTTGTTGCATGAGACACACAGGGTTCAATAGTGAGTGTCAAACAGTCAGAAGTGGCCTGACAGTAATAAAAAGGGAGAAAAAAGGGTGCCAGAGGCAGGTGTGGCCTGCGGTGTCACTTGCTTAGGTCTGGGGCACAGGTTACCAGTGACTGAATTACAACATCAGGACTTATCTTCAAGGATGAAAAAGCCCTTGCTCCTCAGCACATCTTGAGTCTTCAAGTTCAGTCCAGCACCAGGATGTGATACCCTCTTTCAAACACAGCTCCTCCTCCAGGGGAACAGGAAAAGAAAGAAGAAAACAATGCTCACAGCCATGAGCAGAAGCAAAGCTATAGGAAGCCAGACTCCTCTACTCATCATTTTTCCCTCACACACATTTCGCTCTTCCAGGGGTCCTTGTGTGATTAATCCCCAACCTCTTCAAGAATCTTAAGTCTACAAAACCTCTGCATAGAGGTGAAATAATAGCCAAATCATAAAACTCACATGCCAGAAAGGACTCAGATCACCTGGTCAAAGACTTTTTTAAACCCCCCTTAGTTTACAATCTGAGTGCAGGTCCAGAGAAACTCATCATCTCACAGCTGGTTCATGCCACAGTCGGTGCTAGAAGATGCAACTCTTTAGTCCCAGTCTATGATATTTTCACTCTCTCCTCTGATTAGCAATAAGGTTCAATGCCAAAAGCCCCAGATGGGAACATGTAGCCTCTTCAGTATTCAGAAAAATATATTTAGCTCTGTGAACATTCCTTCAAAGGAGAATTGGTCCCACAACATCCAGGATCACTTTGCAAGCATAGCAGTAATGATAGCCAATACGTGTTGGCTACCTTGATTATCTCCTTTAATCCTCACAGCATCCTATGGGGTAGACACTGTTATTATCCCCATTTTAAGAAAAAGAAACTGAGGCACAGAGAGATTACATAATTTGCCCAGGTCACCCAGCAAGCAGATGGTAGAGCTGGGATTCGAATCCAAATGGTTTAGCTCCAGAGACTCAGCTCCTAATTACTTACACTGGCTCTAAAATCTCGCCTATCCAAGAACCAGCTACCTCAGTTGTCTGCACACATGCAAGTATAGATGAGGCATAGAACTTTAAAGCCAGAAAGAAGCAAAGAAATAGGATGAGGGATGTTTGGGTGTCATAAGAAAAAGGACCAGTCCCTACTGGTCTGTCTGTCTCTCTGTCTCTGTCCCTCTGTTTTATATCTGTCTACCCGATTCTCTATGTATATCTCTTGGTCTATCTGTGTCTCTCCTCGCTTGCTTACCCACCCTCCCCTCTAACCCCTTCTCTCTGCTGTAGGGTCACTATCCCCACCACACCTCACATCATCTTCTCATTCTCTCTTCCCTCCTCTGGCACCCTCCCCTGACTTCACGCTGCCCTCCATTTCCCAGGGCTTTCTCTATGCTAATCACTTGAGAGCTTGTGTCATATTTATGCCTATTGCAAAGCAACAGACACCAATCACAAAAGAAATACAGCATCCTGGAAGAATATTTCATTTGTAACGGTCACAGAGAAACTTGAACAAAACATGAAATAAAAATGACAGGACACCTTTTGACATTATTATACAATGAGCACATCGGTAATTAAGTGATTACAAGGTCCCCTCTGTGAAGTTAATTAATAAGTCTTAAAAACTAATCTCAAAACAGGCACCCAAACAACTGTCATGAGGCAGCATCACTAGCACAAGGCGCTGGCTGGCGTTTCCATCCTTTTACAAGTGGCGCGCTTTAGGAATAAGGTCTCCCACAAGCACTGAGCCATCAGATGACCTGCCTACCTTCTCTTGACCTGCCCTCTTCTCAACAGTCATCACAGGGAGTTTTAGGGGCCACTGACAGGGTACTGACTGGGTCAGTACATTTTTTAAAAAGAAAGGAAAAAACTCCAGAATGTTCACATGGATTCACCTTTTGGGTTAAGAGCAATCTCTTGACCATATGTAGAATGTGATGTTCTAATGATCACTTCTGCCTTCACTCTGGCACCAACAGGGCTCACAATCTGTGGCTGTGCATGCCAACTCCCTTTCTTTAAAAATATTTTAAAGGCAGTGTAAGTACACAGTGTCCTTTGGCAGCTGGACACAGACCAAAATAATGTTTGGAAAGAGACATATCCATGAGGGAGGCCAGGCTTTAAAGGAAGAAGTTCTGTGCTGGCAGGTCCCCATTTCTGGTGGTCAGCTAGGGTCCCCAGAGACACAAGGGCCACTCTGAGAAAGTCTGGAAGCAGATGCGGTTGACCAGGTGAAATCCTCCAAAGCCGACCCAGCCTTTCCCAAGACTATGCCCACTTGCGAGCACAACGTTGTAGCCATATTTTGAAGCCAAAGTGAAAAACTACAACTGCTACCATTCCAAGAATTGTGCCTCTTGCTCTATCAATGCAAACAGAGCCAATAAATGGGCGATGTTCATGCTGAGAATCCCAAAGAACTCAGTCTCCCAGCTTTCCCTCTGGGCTCCAAGATTTGTGGCCATGGAAGTCTTAACAGGGCACAGGTATGGCTTCTAGGAGGTGAAGGGAAAAATCGCACAGGAAAATTCTGATTTATCAGAAAGTGCTTCCAGGTGATGAGTTCTACCTTGGTGTCAGGGATAGCCAGCATTTTGCTTGCCAGGTGACCAAACCTTCCCGTTTGCCTAGAACATTTCCAGTTTTAGCACTGAGAATCCTGCCTCCCAGAAACTGGGACTCTGGGTCACCCTACTTG